GTTTATGATCAAAATATCAGTAGTAAAGGGAGCAAGAAATACCCAAACACCCCAAAATATAAATTATAGTCACAAGTAATGTGAAATAAGCACATTAGCCACTCTTTGGGCTTCATAGGAATAAAATAAATTAAGGATTTTTATACAAAGAAATATACGTAGCAATGTTTGATGTTGAGTCAGTATACAAATTAGAACTAAAGCTAATATTACACAAAATTGCAAGACTATTGAACTCATTTAAAGCGTTCTAAACTGAACGAGAAATACAGAAAACATTGAACGTTTCCCAACGATTTGATGCTCTGGGAATTCTATTGTTTGCTAATGCATCACCATAACACCAAATTCTTTYGCACCATGCACGGTCTGATCTCGCTTGGCCGCTTTCCGATTTACTTCCGAAGCATGGTAATACAGAGTTGTGACAAACGTCCCACGTTTGAATAAAAAAAAATGTGTATTACCATGAGCCATGACTTTTGTGAATATATAGATCTTAAATATCAATTTCGGCCGTATGAAATCCATTGTTTAGTTTTGGAGTAGATTATGCACTATATTTAAAGAATCTCAAATATCTCATAATTAGCTAGATAGATTTTTTCAAAAATCCCTACAAATGGAGGCATCCAGTATATAATTATGTGGTACGAAGCATTTTATTGTTGAACGCTCTGAAAGGCTAAAATTATTTTCTAAACGAAAACAAATATTTCATAATAATCACGTGTTATGACTTCCGATCTCACTAAAAACTGCATCAAACATTAATTCAATCTTTATGTGACTTATGTGCAAAAAAGATTTGCAATCGGATAAAACACGTTTATGCACAAGCGTTCCAAAAGTGGAAGGTAGCGGTCAAGCGTGTGGAAGGTAGCGGTCAAGCGTGAGGGGGTCCAGCCACCTTAAATACTTTAGAATAATATATCTTTTTTATAATTTCTCCTAATTTGTAACTCAAAAGTCTCAAAGATCTCTGTCACACTTCATGCGTCGAGTCATGTACTCTTCGTTTGCAATAGACATACTAGCCGCCATGTTGATATTTTGTTATATCTTCCAAATGGCTTTTGTTATTGTGCTCTCTTGGGATYGATTGCAAACCAAGAATAGATCATTGGAGTTATTGTCACATTCAACAACGTCAAATTCTATAGAGATAAAAAACGAAGCAATACCTTTGAAGCCACTAGCTCTCCCAATAAGCATTCGCCGATAGCACCCGTTGCACCGACGAGAATGGCTTTGATACCGAGAGATTCTCCAGGATCACCTGTACTGCCCTCTTTTACTCCTCCTTCCGCCATCTTGAAAATACCTGATAACCTGATTGAAACCTGATCAACCTGATGGGGCATAGCAACCTCGTTCCCAGGGCTTTCTCTTCTCGCTTATTTACAAAATGGCGGCGCTGCCCTGGGAACAAGTTTGTTTTAAAATTGGCTTCCGGAAGGATTCCGGTGGCGTTTATAGGGAGTCCCAGGAGTACATTTTTTTGTAGTTTTTTCCCCTTCAGTTTTGACAAATAACATTTCAAAATAAAATTTAATGCTTACGATCGTTAAAAATGTGTTTCATTTTGTCGTCCGAGGCGTTTTACGCTGTTTATTGTAGTGGTGAATACTCGTTCCCTTGTGCGCTAACATTACAGCACAACGCGCAATAGTAAGCCCAAATTTAATGTATTCGCATATAGTCGGGGAGCTGAGGCCGGAAAACGAGGGTTACGCTCAACGCTCGCCACAGAAAAGGTTTGACACTTGATTTGGGTGCTGAAAGAGCTTCCAATCAATGCTATGTAAGTCGTATAGTTGAATTGTGGTATACGTTTCAAGTTAATAATTTTRTGCACGAGCTTTTTCCAGTCAAACGAGCGCACTTTTGGACGCCTTATTCGGTAAAACCTGCCAGCATTACTTTGAAATGTGTCGGTTTAACGTACAAAAGACCGTGCATAGAAGTATGCGAATGCTGACATTATATGTGGTCATACTTTTGCGTGTTGCAATGTAAGTGCACGAGGGAGTATTCACAATGTATAGTGCGAAAGGGAGCGAGTATTTACCATAGTATAGTGCACGAGGGAGCGAGTATTCACCGTAGTATAGTGAACGATGGAGCGAGTATTCACCATTGTATAATGCATGAGTGAGCGAGTACTCACAGTAGTATCGCGATTCACTAAATAGTCTCAATAAATTGAGGTATTATAGTTTCAAAATTAAGGTTTCTGATTGGCTATTAAATGCGCGACGAAAAGGAAGGCTTGAGATCGCGCGCGTCAAATTTTTACCCTTGTCGCTTGCGCCATAACGTGCGCTCGTAAGGATAATTTCGCTTTTGATCAAAGAAAATCGGTCAGTTTTTTTTCATTTTGTGTTAAATTCTTTAGAATCGCCATACAAAACTTATTCGCTTATTCGCTTAAACTAGCCGTCAATATTTATTTCGTGATATTCTCGTCTCAAAATCGGAATTATTTTATAGTATAGTGTACGAGGGAGCGAGTATTCACCATAGTATATTACACGAGGGAGCGAGTATTCATCAATACTTCGCGACTCCGCCCAATACCGAAAATATTTTCTCCAAACTAGCCGTCAATATTTATTTCGTGATATTGTCGTCTCAAAATCGGAATTAGTTTATAGTATAGTGTACGAGGGAGCGAGTATTCACCATAGTATATTACACGAGGGAGCGAGAATTCATCATAGTTTAGTGCACGAGGGAGCGAGTATTCTATAGTATAGTGCACGAGGGAGTAGCATTTTCCATCGTAWAGTTTACGAGGGAGCGAGTATTCACCATAGTATATTACACGAGGGAGCGAGTATTCATAATAGTTTAGTGCACGAGGGAGCGAGTATTCTATAGTATAGTGCACGAGGGAGTAAGTATTTTCCATAGTATAGTTTACGAGGGAGCGAGTATTCATCATAGTAAAGCGCACGAAGAAGTAAGTATTCAACGATAGTCGTTGCCCAGTGCTGATAGATTACTCCAACTGTGGTGACATCCAAAGTAATCCAGGGCCTGCATATGGACTCTACTCTAACCGATGGACACAGGACACCAGAACGAGGATTAGAAACTCCACTTTGTCAGCTGATATTGGTCGCCTCATGTATAGCAGGAGAGAGCTAAGAGATGTTAGGGGGAATAAGACCTGTACTCCTTCTAGTGAGGTTTCATTACACCTAAAGACTTTGGGGTTATTTTAATATAGAGACTAGAAGAGAGGTGAGTAAAGAATTGCAAATCGCACGGAAAAGCCTATTGATGGTTTTTCACGGCGGCCATGTTGGAGGACTTTAACAAACGAATTGTCAATGAATTATTTTGTTATATCCTCCAACAATCTCGCCGTGTCTTTTGTTATTTAAATCCTCTTGGAAATGGTTGAAAACCGTCAATAAAGACACGCCCTATGACTAGGGTTGTTCAGAAAAAGAGGCAGTATGATTGATGAGCATGGACCGATATAAAGGTATCCCTCAAGTCAGAGTGCTAGGCTGTTACTTTCCAGTCAGGTAACAGGCAGTTCGAATACTCATGTCAAAGAATGCTCATTATTGCTAACAATTAGTGCCTATATACATAAAAAGATCGATATCTTTAATGAAAAAAGCTATGATAGCCCTAAGCGCGGAAGAAGATTATCTCTTYAGATGTATCGTTAGATAGCCTATCGTTAATGATGTCAATATTTGTTTTTTGTTTGTTCAACATATATAGAGGAAACATGTCTGCAAAACTGTCATAAAATTCTCGTATCGGGGCAATAGTAAAATAGATCTAGATGTTCAAGGGATTTCCCCCTCTTTTAAGTGATAAAAGACGCAAAGGCTAAACACTGAATACTGAGACTTCTGGATTCTTCATATTTTTTCTTATTTTATATATATTTTATCAGTCAATCAAATCAGTTAAAGACATAATATCAATCTAATATTTAACAAATATAACAGATTTTYCGTGCTTCGTTTAGTAATAAAGCACACGTAACTAAAAACAGTACAAGTCACAACTTTCTATACTGTACTGTAGTAAAGTTATGGCACGTTGATTGACTGTATGTAAGACAACTGACTATGTCCTGTCTTTTTTGTTTTGCGTTGTAATAATTCTTCTAGCTTTATGTTCACGATATTTAGTGCTCTGTCAAG